AGCCCTCCACGGTCTGGCCCATTTCTATATAAGCAAGATGCTGACTCCATATGAGATGTCAACGTCAGAGTAGGGAAGGCGGCCGGTGTCCTCTGACGTCTCCAACCTATTTGTAACCCGACCTCCCTGAATCTTAGGATCAAGATCAGACTATTGAAGTCTATCGTCATTCCGACTGCACTGTACGCTAGCGAAACCAGGCGCTCAACAAATGCGATCACTTAACGCCTGAACTTGCTTCAACAATGTGGCCTGCAGCGAATCGTGAGAATTTCTTACCGGGACCGGATAACGAACAATGAGGAAGACACCTGCCCTTTAGCTGACGTTGTTGGAGAAAGGCGTTTCCGCTTTGCGGGCCATATTCTACGTCTACCCCCTTATCGCCCAGCCAAGATTGCCATTACATGGTTCCTGTGCACTGGCCAGCGAAAGCAAGGCTGACCAAAGATCACATGGTGTCGAACGTTTATGGATGATCTGAAAACCGTCGACATCGCCTGGGACAAAGCCGAGGCAATCGGAAGAGTGTTTTATACATTTAAGTTCAACCTTTGATGGTGAGTATTATGAAGGTGGTTCTTTTTTTACTAGGGTACATAACTATGGTAAGTTGTGCTGCAAACCTAACTTGCTCCAGAGCTAGCTATGTTCCAGATTAGAAATCAATAGATTTGAAATCATTGCTAATAAATTATTCATAAAATTGCAAAATCACTCGTAGAAGATTTCTTGGACTTCACACATTGGTGCATGGATGGATAATTTGATTGCCCTACATGTATTAGTAGAGCAGTCCATGTCTGTTATATGCTGCCAACCCCAACATCACTCATATCACATCTCATTTTTATTTCTTCACCTGCATGAAAAATAGTACTTTTGTGCGTTGGACACTGACACAAAAAATCTAAATTGCTTTGGAATAATCCGTAAGTAAGATCAATGTTGTTGTGATAGAAGCCACAGAGAAATATGAAAAAAGGTTTATTTTTTCAGTGTTGACCTCTCAGAACATCCAAGCTGCATCTAATATTTTCAAGATAAACTGTGCATGTGTCTATTTTGATATTATCACATAGTTAATTTCATAGAAGCACAATATCCTTAGGGTGGAAAAAAAATCAGATAAAGCAGAGGACACGCAGACGATAACCAGCCCTGTGAATAAACAGTTACAGACATGACCTCACTTCCAGAAGAAAGTTAGAGCAGATTTACGACGCTGGCTTTGAATGAGCAATGAATGATTTCTAACTGGAAGACATTTAACAAATAGTTCAAAGAGGATTACGAATTAGCTTGATGACGACAGAATAATTAAAGGACTCTGGTTTAGTCTGTACAGCGTTGCATTGGACAGGATTTTTGTCTACTAAGATGGTCACTGAGACATTGAGTCATGTTGTAGCTTTGCATGTTTCACTATCTACATGATGCATCTTCTCCTCCTCCTGCTGCTTCCTCTCTTTACTTTCATGTATCCTTAAATTCTGCTCTGTTCACTCATGATGCTAAGCCAGGGGTGGGCAATTCCAGGCCTCAAGGGCCGGTGTCCTGCAGGTTTTAGATCTCACCTTGGGTCAACACACCTGAATCATATGATTAGTTCGTTACCAGGCCTCTGGAGAACTGCAGGAGCTAATTTAGCCATTTAAATCAGCTGTGTTGGTTCAAGGACACATCTAAAACCTGCAGGGACACCGGCCCTCGAGGCCTGGAGTTGCCCACCCCTGTGCTAAGCCCATCCCTTGAACACAGGGTTGTTTTGAACATGCAATAGCTCACTTAATGTTTAAAATCCTCCACAGTAAATGAGCAATGCCAAGGAGGATGATCTTCTGAAGCTCTTGTATTTATGTTATTATATTAAGATATTTTGCTGGGACTTTGTTGGTGTGGTCTTCCACCCTTTATTAATCAAACCTAAAGCAAAAAGAGAAACCTGAATGGCATAACTCGAGAACGAAGCAACGTAGGAGCTTGATGCCGTGTATCTACTAAAAAGTTTAAATCTCAGTGACCTTGACCTCAAGGTTAGAGGTCAAGTTTTCTGAAAAAAAAATCTTCTGAATGCAATAACTTGTGAACATACTTTGAAAAGAGATTCTTTGCTCCTTAACTCATTTGTTGTCTTGTTCACGTTGGGTATATTTAGTAGAAGAGAAGCTTTGATTTGTTATCAGTACCTGGATTTCTGGTCCAGTTATTTTTCTCGGATGTCTTTAGTTAAGACATAAAAGGTCATGTTATTTTAGGTGAAGCATTTTACTCGCTGCACAGCTGTGAATCCACTCAGCAGGAGAAGACTGAAGATGTGCCAATGTGACAGGATTTTTTTTTTCTACTCTTTTATATTTCACAAAATAGAGTCAAAATTTTACTCTGAAAAGAACGTAATTAATTTGTAGTGATGCAAATTGTGTTTTTCTTCCCACAGCACCTCTGTTTTGTTAGATAAAACATTTTTAAAACTTTTGAGTGGATTTTCACATTTTTAGAAGCTCTCCTGTCAGTTTTTTTTAATATATTTTTATTTCAGTTACTCAAAAAACGGAGCCAATATTTGTAACTGTGATGATAGAAGACAGCTTCTTGTTTTGCTTCCTACTGCTTTTCTTTCTGTTTATTCATCAGGCTAAATACACATTTCAACTAAAACGTCCCACTTCATTTAATTTATTTGTTTTAACTGTGTCCACAGTAAATAAGTATTCCAAAAAGAGGATGATCCAGCTTTATCAGTGCAAGTATCATCATTTTCTTCTACTCATACCTGACAGTGAATCATCCGACACATATTACAAGTCCATGATGTGTTGCTTCCAGATTTAGGTCCTCATTCTTCATTCCAATCTTAGAAAATTACTTAACCAGCCTTTACAGTGAATCGGGTCTATATTTGCTTTTGAGCATGTTGTTTGACAATGTTCCTCCTCTTCAAATCTATAAATGCTACCCTGCTGGATCCCTTTTACAACCATCCCTCTTTTAATTAACACCAATATGTGATGCCTCAAAGGAGTTAATCTCTGTTTTTATAAAAGAAATTCTCATCGTATATTCATCACAACTTGCACCGTATCCCCTGATTTTTATTACCTAATTAAAACAAAACAAATCCTGCATACCCTTTGTCCTTTTGTTTGCAACTGAATGGTTTTCAGCTGAACTTTGAGGCCTACAAGAGCTTCACTCCAATCTGCTGAAGGCATGTGGCGTTAATGTGTTTGACGGCTCCTGGATCAATGAAAGTTGGGCCTCTCACCCTCCTCTTGCTGTGTCTTTTGGAGCTAACTGAGAGATCCAGCATGGAAAACAATGGAGTCACAGTTTGGATGAGAGTAGAGCAGAAGAAACCTCAAATTCAAAAAAAAGACGAAAGCATCAGTCCTCACTTAGAGGAAGCGCAAGTAGTGACTGACTCGACCAACATAAAAATAATCTAGGTTAGGACATACGAATAAGTAAATTTAGGAAAGTGATTACAGTTGTTTTGACACTGCACGCACAGCACTGGAAACTACAGCAAGTTGAATGATAGTTGCGATTGTTTAGTGTGAATCATGCAGTTCTTTCCTGCATGACTGTAACACTGCTGGAAGTGTAGTACAGCTCTGTCTCCTTGTGCCTTCATTTACAACAACAGTTCACACTCCAGCGTGAGTGTTCATATGCTCAGGCACTCTGGCACGGCCGCACGCACTCAGTGTCAGGTCGCTCAGTCATCTGATGGTTTCTACCACACCGGCCACCATGAGTGCTTACCGGGGGTTCTAGCATGCTGCTGCATAAATAGGAGAGACTGATTAAACAATGTGCCACAGCTGTGCCACTCAGTCTCTGATTGGCACTGAGCTCTGAATCTCCTGTTCCACCTCTACTCCCCACAGCTGAGCCAAAACCACACCCCACCACCACAGCAATAGCAAAACCACATTTTTGAGAAAACTAACAAGCACATTCCTAAAAGAATTTCTGTTTCGTGGAACAGCTGAACTCTTTTTTTCTCCTTCACAGCAGGCGTTGGGCCCCGAACATTTGGTGTACACCGTGTAATATACAGTACTCACAAAGGTTTTTTGGTTTTTAAAGGAAGACTATTAAAATCCCATGTTAGTGTTTCTCAAAAAGCAATGAGATGCATGAATTTATGTTAATGGTAAACACTCGTTCGTAGTATTTTCTACTTGACTGAGGCATTCAAACTGCTTTATACAACAGTCCTCATTCAAGCATTTTTTTTTCTTCTTTAATCTTCTATCTGCTTCACATTCACAGTCCAATAAACAATTCAGAAAAAAACCTGAGGGTTGCACGCTAACGATACTTTACTTTGGCATGCAGACTGGGACAGCCAGGGACTAAACCACCAACCTTCCAATTAGTGGATGACGTGCACTACCTCCTGAGCTACAGCCACCCCTGTGTGTTAATGAGACAGAGAAAGGGAATAATTGACAAAAGAAATTTACACTTTTTGCATTTACTTCAGGGCATCAGTAGAAATAATAATAATTTTACACTAAATGATAAACCCTATAGTCTGTGTAAGTGAAGTATATTTAAAGTTTTGTACACGGTATGTGAGTGCAAATTGTCATTTGAGTAAAGCCTGCTAATCTGTCCAGTGTTTATTCAAATGGTAACCCTGGACCAGAATATATATTTCTGTTCAGAAGACTTCAAGATTTTGGCAGACAGCGTGCAATACCTAAGAAATGCTTGATTCTAATTAAAGTTTGCTTTTATTTATTTTGGACATATAATACAAGTCAGGATTTTTTTTCCCCCTTCGCATTCATTCAAAAGAAATGAAAAACCAAAAATCAGTGGATGCTTATATTTCTTAAAACTCTACTTCAGCTTTTATATCATAGATGTAACCCCCCAAATACCCATATTATGTTTTTTCTTTCTGAGTGGATCAGTTTGTTCGTGATTATAGTACAGTAAATGGTGCAGTAAAATGCAAAAAAACTAATCAAAGCCAACAAACATATTTCTGTATTTTTTATTAGAACAATTAAAATGAAAAAAAATGACAATCCATCTGTGTCAAAAAGCAATAAACAATATTTCATTTTTAAAAATAATGCACAGATACAGAAGCAAAGCTGAGAGCTGCGAGGTCATTACACACTTGAAAGCACAGAGGAGAGTTTAAGGTAGAAAGTAAAAAGCAATAAATCAAAGCATCAGGCCTGAAGCAACTAAAGTTATAGGAAGGCGTTCCAGGAAAGTTTTTAGCAGGCTCCCAAAGCAAGAAGCTGTGTTTGGGATGTACGTGCATGTACTTGCTCTCTGGGTCCATCAAATTCACCTGTGTCCCACCTCTGGTCCAGATAGAACTGGTTTCTCGGGGCATGAGGCGTTCAAGGGCTGAACTACAGGAACGCATGGGACTGTGCATTCATGTCCATCTGCATGCTTTTGTGCGTGTTAGCCTGTTTACTTCTTGTGGTAGTTGTCTGCATAAGCTCTGTGATCCTCCTGCCCGGGATACTGGTCTCCATAGCGCCTCAGTATGTCCTGGAGGCTGGGCATGCCTTGTGAGAGAGGCTGGTAGGGTGTGTGAGATTCCTCCTGGCCGCTCTGGTAGGGCTCTGCTTCATACTGGTCCTGATTAACCTGCTCTCTCTCGGCTGCCGTCTGGCTGTGGTCCTCTGCTGCATGACGTTCAGGCTGGCTTTGAGGCTGCTCGGTCTCATAGCGACGCAGGCGGCAGTCACGGTCATACTCGGGGTCACAGTGTGGGTTTACAGGCTCCAGGACGCCGTTGCGGGTGCCGTCAGAATTCAGGTGGGGCTCATAGGCCTCAGCAGGGTAAGGGATGCGACGTTGAACTCCAGAGCGAGGTGCGCTGGGCTTCACGGGATAGCATTCACGGTCATAGCCAATGAAACAGTCGTAGCCCTCCTTGGTTTTGCCTGGGGGACCCAGAGGGTGGCGTTCCTCCTGGGCAGGTTCCTCATAACTGGGATAGGAATAAGGGTGCTGCTGCCTGGGGGATGGAGGGGTGTGCAGGTGCATAGCGCCTGCTGCATCACGCATAGTAGAGTAAGGATCGTTGGAGTTTGACTCAGAAGCAGCCCCCATACGTGGAGCATATGGGTCATTAGTGTGAGCTTGGGCCATGTATTGGCGCAGTACAGCAAAGAGATCAGTAGCTGGAGGAGAAGTTGGGGCACTGGCCTGGCGATACATAGCATAAGGATCAGTGACTCTGTTAACATTAGAATAAGAATCCCTATACATGGAATAGGGGTCATACTGCTCAGCAGGAGGGGCAGCACGGATGGCAGCGGCCTGATCTCTCTCGTTACTTTTGTATGATTCTGGAGAAGTGGAAAATCTGGTGGCGGTAAGAGGGTTGCAACCGTCTTCAAAAAGAGGATTGCAGGATCCTGGTGCAGCTTGGGGAGCCTGGAGGGATAGAGCAAAATTAAAATACAGTAATGCAGAAAGCTGTTGAAGGAAATTAGTATGACGAATAAGACGTACCGTACTGGAGGCAGAATAGGCATTCATGTAGAGACCAGCAGGAGCTTTCTGTAACATTTTGCAGGCAGGATCTTTCTTGGGGTCACAGCCAAGGTGGGCATATGATGGACGGGACCCACCAGAATACCCATAAGCAGCTTTCAGATGGTACTGCAGACACTCCACATCATCAGAGCCACAGATCCGCAGCAACTCTACCTTCTGCTCCTGAAGCACGAGAAACAAGGATCCATATTATGAGATGGGTGCAAATTTTTTCTCATCGAAAACATTTGTAAGCAATTAAATTATTGCTCCTGCTGAATGCATCCATCTTGGGCAACAATTATAGATATAGGTTTGCAAATCTTACCCATGGGAGCTTTCAGATGCACCACTGCCCAGCAGTCTAAGGTTCTATTATCTAATAATAACATAAGTTTCAACAAGAACTCTAAATTCTAAATAAAGAACTCTAAAAACTCTCTAAATTACCTTAAATTTAAACAATAATCAGTTTTTCAGTTGTAAACAGTTTGAAAAATTGTGATATTTTGTATGGCATGATACAAAACGTGCAATTAATAATTAATTAATTAAAATACAGTAAATATACATGTATACTATGCACAAAAAATACTATAGCATACCATGGTCAGGAAAGGCATCGTGGACGGCGAGTAGTAGTAGTACCCTGACTGAGGGTCCTTGGCTGGAGCAGGAGAGTGGACGTACTGAGGAGCAGGGGTGGCAGCCGGGAGCACCAATGGCTTGTAAGGGCTCTTTCCCTGGACTAAAGCCATGTACATGCAGTAGGGGTCCTTGGTGGGGTCACAGGTTTTTACTGGGGCAGGTTTGGGGGTTTCCGCTTTAGGACTGGCCCTGCTGGTGTAGGAAGCCACGCAGTTGGGGTCTTCAGTATCGGAGCAGGATTTATAAACATCTCCCAGGTGTCTCAAGTAGGCCTTGTAGGAGCGACGTCCCTCAGCACGGTTCTTGTTCTGGAGGTAGGCGAGGAAGATGCGATCCATCTCCTGAATCTGAAGGGAGTAAGGGTTTATTGTTTTTTCACTGATCGGATGACATGTAACATCAATAAAAGTAAAAGGCTTCTCAGAGAACCACCACTCTCTGAACATCCAGTTTTACAGGGAGGCGCTCAGAAAGAAACTATCTCTGGCCGAAATGATAAACTCTGTGTGGTCAACATTTGTACTCTGGCAATTTTAATTATGCTTTTTTAATATAAGAGTATGAGACTGTAAAACAGCAGTAATAACCGGCTTCTCCCTATTCATAAACACGATTGTCCTTCTAGCCTCTGTTTTTGAAAACTGGTGCTATCAAGGAAGTAACTGACCAATCAGCATGCATTAGCAGAACGCTAGCTTTTTGTTGGTAACCCTGTTTTATTGATTATAATGTTGACATGTAAGAGAAATTTAATTTTTGTTTGTTTCTTTTGTTTTATTGTGTTTTGTAGCAGGTGTGAATCTTTAGTTTAGCTGTTTAGGTGAACTGAACCTTCTGGTGAAAGAAGCTGGACAGGCCTCTGTAGATCTGGTGCCTGCTGCCGAGTCCTTTGAAAGGACATTTGGTTGTGTGTGCTTTAATTCCTGTTTGATAAAACTCACTCTGTCAAGTTTTCCCAGCAGAAAATCACGCAACTTTTCAAACTACTCCTGATTTTACTGGCTCATTAACTTTATGTGAGAGTTGTTAGTGATATATTCAGGTTTAGGATGATAATAATATTTGCGACTTCTTAGTGACTCCACTCATTTTTCCTGAATCCAAATTCCGAGTCCTTCCTTGCCCCCTTGTCAAGTCTAAAAAACAAGGGCATCATCAACATGATTATTTCCCCCACAAAAAACCTAAATAAACTGCACAACACATTTTTAAGCAATACATTGCAAAACAAATGCCAGATTTGGCAAATACAATACAAATAAGCTGACATGTACATTAATATATTAAAAATCCATTTTAATTATTTCATGGTTCAGGCTTTAAAGGGTTAATATAAAAGCATTAATTAGAGCAGCTTTAAATATAAGAGAACCAATCATCTCATTAACAACTAGTCAATACTAAAGAGTTTTGTTTCATATTGAACAGCTGAAGTGTTACATGGAAACTTTCATTTCATGACACCGTTAATGTTGAAAACAAAGCGTTCACTCACTGCCTCCTGGTTGCCGTTGTCAGTAAAGTACTTGTACCATGCCCAGAAGTCAGAGTGCTGTTTGTACCAGCTGATGTTCCTGCGGTTGCGGATCAGCCTCCTGTGTGCTGCTGCAGCAGCCGCCTTCTCCTGGATGCTTTCCCCCGCTGAGGGCAGGAGATGAGGGGAAAAAACGAAGACACGGCTGATCCAAAGGCTTCCACGCTGACATCATATTCAAGGACTTTCTAGTGACTTTTAAAGTTTCCAACAAAACATTCAAGGACTCAAACCCCTTTTTTTTGTATTCGCTAGAAAACGGCTTCCATCTCACATTAGCTCTCAATCACAGTGTCAAGAGTTGAAGCTACACAGAAGCCAGGTGAGGTGGAAGTCATAAATAAGTGTTTACTTTCCAATCACAAACCTCTTCCATGGACTAAGTTTTCAAAAACTCGGTCACCGTGCACTCTTTAGAAACAAACACACGTGTTGAAGTATCTTTAAAGGTAAAAACCACATACTTACCATCTCCTCTGGACTTTTGCACAATTGGTCCAGCAGACAAGAATGCTGCAAACAGAGAAAAGCAAAAACAGATGTTGCTGAAGTCAAAATTGCTGATTCTTTCTAATCTAATTTGTCTGTAATATCCAAGCGATAACATGACATTAAACCTCAAATGCTTACGGGCTGATAGTTTTCATTAAATAGGGCTGGGGTAATTGGCACTGCCTGAAGCACTGGTTACTGCAGTTCTTTGTAGATTTTTATAGGGGCGCTTGTAACACGGAGCCCCACGCTGTGCTTTCAAAGGGCCGTGTGTATCTGTATGCACATACATGCACACGTGTGCACAGTTTGAAGTCGAAGGAACAGCAGATTCAGATTCAGCTCTGCTTCGGGTTCCTTTCATCTCCGCAGGGAGAAGGTGTTAGTCCCTCACAGAAAGGGAGGAAGAGGAGAAGGAGGAAGAAGAAGAGAGGAACAGATGACAGCCTTAAAAAGATCCACAGGGGATAAATTAGGGTTACGTGCCGTGTGTTCTAAGTGGGAAAAAAAACATTAATCTCTTGATTTTTCTTCTTCTTTTCTTCTTTTTTAATGTTGGGATTGGAAGAATGGATATGCACTGTCACCTGTGAGGTTAAACTAAAAGTATGGATCCTAAAGTTAAAGGAGAAGGTGGGAAGGTGACCCATGGTGATGTTTAGGAGGAGGAGGAGGAGGAGGAGGAGGAGGAGGGTGGGCTGAATGATGCTGCCTCAGTATATCCGCTCTATTTCTCTCTTTCTTTCTTTTAACAAGCCTGTAAAAAATGGCAGGCACATCTGGAAACAGCAGCACTTTAAGAGGGCATAGAGGAGGTGATGCTGACAGGTAATAATTTTTTTACTGATCAAAGTAACTCCTCCTCTTCCTCGTTACTGTATTTTTTCCCCTTTATCCATCAGGGAGCGTAACTTTGAAAACCAATTTTAAAAGAAAGCATGTCAATCAAGAAGAGAGAGAACTGGAAACAGGTGGTAGGGGAACAACCTGTCTCCATGTTGCAACATCGCCGGTGATATATGAGCATCACAGGCATGTTATAGAGCCGCGTGATGATATATGTGAAACCCAGTTCTCATGAACTCATCAGATGTACTGCAACTAAACTTTAGCTTTAACAAACTGAACCTTGAAATGAAGCAATAGCTCAAGGCAAATGCATTTTAAGGAGGCTCGAACAATCAAAGGAAAGTTGGAAAAATAAGCTGCTAAACTGATCCACAAAATCAAAAATGTTGTAAGTCTAAAAGCTAGATCCTCTGGCTCTGAATAGCTTTATTAGTATCACACTGATCTATAGCCAGCTGTGTGTTTTTTAATGGTTTAAAATAACTGCATGTCAACCTAAATGCAAAAGGTAAAAGCTCTGATTCATGAATATTTAATTTTTTTAAAAACAGACAAAGAAAGAAAGTTACTCATCACTGCTGTGTCCCTGCTAACATTAAGAAATAATGGCTGACATTCGTCATCAATGTGGACTTGAATGACTCATTCTTGTCCACAGTAAAGTCTACCCTTCACCTCACGATTTACTCTTCAATCATTCAGTTTTTCAACTCGTAAAACTGGAAACATGCTTTTATGTCATCATTGTTCTTTTGTTCTACCCATCAGTCGGGACATGAATGGACTCTTATTTGCTCAAGGACTGTATTTAAGAACAGATTTGCAGTGCGAGAAGTGAGCATTCACCGGAAACTGCAGTCTTTCAGGGATGTTTTTTCACTTTAAATGGCAGCATCTCAGCACTGAAGACTTTTGGGGAGTGTGCTTATCTTTCAGAGTATCCACGTGTCATAGAGGCACCGTGTTTTACAGGTACCTTTGCTTTAAAGTGGAGCTAGAAAAGTAGTTGAAAGTTGCTGAAGCCTGTTTGAATAAGATGAGTTTAGACAGATTTTTAATTAGTTATAGCTTTGTATACACTGAAGTATTAGATAAGAGTGTAAGATATTAATAAATTTTGTTCTGATGAAAGATACGATGGGTTGCTGGTTTTGGAATGTGAGGTTTTAGTGCTTTTGTGCCTTTAATACAATTTCAAAGTGATTATCTTTAGGTTTGGGGTTGCATCTAAGATATCTGATGACATTATCTCAGACTTTGTTGGAGGCACTTAGAAACAAAACCCTCAAGTTTGATTAAGAAAATATTTGTTGCAGACCTACCAAAAACCCAAGCAATGTATATAATATAAATAAAAGAAAAAGCTCCATCTTTTCACCACTAACACATTTTCATTTGAGATCCTAACACTGTCACCGAGCTTGGAATGCACCCATAAAGCAGACTAACCTCCAAACTCTTGGAGATCTTGGAGCTTTGCTGTCTTGCAAATATTTTTTAATAATTCTTTAATTTATTGGGCTCCTAATTGTGCATCTTCTGATTGTGTTATTGTGATTGTTTCTTCCAATACAGATTTCAATCTGCAGTATTATATAATATGAATATATTTACACTGTGAGATTACTAATCAACATTATAATTTAGCTACCTGTCATCATTTCCATAATTCGCTATAATATAATGTATAGCTGACAATCTGGCCTTGTTATCTGACGCCGTCTGTAATGTCCCATGTCTGCTGGGTACTCACCAGGCAGCAGCATCACAGCCAGCACAATGGTGATCAACACACCGGAGAAACTGGTCCGTCTTCTTTCAGCCATGACTGGACCTCAACAAAAACACAATCTTGAAAACCACTGTCACTTTGATCCTTTCTGTGCCTGTACCTGTTTGACACTTCACATGATGCAAAATCCTTTTTTTCACATATACTTTGATCACTGGCTCCAAAAATATGGTCCAACCAGCCATAGTAGTAATATTTTAGCCACTAGTCACTATTTTTCTCACAAAGATGCATTTTAAAGCTCAAAAATAACTTTACAAAACTTTTAAAGCTCTATCAAAAGTCTCAACAGTTGGAGAAGTGACCTCTGCCTGTGGCTTGGAATTGAACTCTTGAAACAAACATGCTGCCACAACGGCTCCTGGCTGGGTTCAATCTACTGGTTTGTCATAGTAAAACAGAACCAGGTGTTTTTCAGCAGAATTTCAGCAGAATTTTAAGCCTCGGAAAATACCTGATTCTACCAAAAGTAAACACAGACTGCACTGTTTGGTCTCTTACCTGCGGTTGTTTGACTTCAGAGTTTCCTTCCAGAGGATCCAAAGTGGACTCGGATGAAGCTCAGTCCACCAGGTGTGTACGTGGGAGGTGTTTGTGTGTGTGTTAGGGACTCCTTGCCTGCCCTGCAGCTCTTCTTACAGACTGATCTGACAAAAGGATCCAGCAACGTTTTAAAGTGAGCCCATCATCTCTGACACGCACTAAAAAAGGCTCAGCATGATTACCTGAGGGGGGTCAAGGGCCACCCCAAGAAGATGCCTGATTGGCTGAAACTTTCAGCCAATTGGAGGCACTATAATTAAAGACAGAAAAGCAGAGACGGTAGGAGAGCTCTGAGTAAAGATGAAGACGTGGAGTATTGGGTGAAAAGAAGAAACCTCAAGTTGTTAATTTAAGATACTTCACGATTGATTGTTTAATTTTATTAAATGTAAGAAATCACATCTGTTTCAGAGATGTAACAATAACTCATGTAAAGTAAAATAAAGACCACAGAGGAGGCAGAGGAAAGACACAGGGCTGTAAAATAAAGGGGCGTTGAGGTGCCACATAAGCACTTCTCAAGAGACCTCAATGAGGGCCAAACCACAGCTTCTGTCTGAACACACACAACATGCAAGCACAGCTGGTCCACACATGAGGAATTTGATAATCTACAGTTTCCTCCTGAGTTTAACTGTGTTCAGGCATGCCAGCCACGTAAGACACACACAGGTACACAAACACACACACACACAATGATTTTAGTAGAAAAACGATGTATCTGAGATATATGATGCAATATCACCACATCTGACTATATAAGCCTATAATTCATTTAGGCCATTCAGTAATGTTATCAGGTTTATGTCCAGAATAGCTGCAGGGGGGTTTTATTGTTTTTGGTTCTTTTACTGAAAATATTTTTGACACTAAATGTAATTTAATTTAAAACAAATATGACTTTTAAGAGAAAATCAGTTTTAAACATTGTCTTATTCCAGAGAGAGAATATGTTTAACATTTATGGAAGTATAAGATTTTGAACACGGTGCTTAAATGACTGATTGTGAAATAGCTAAAGACTGAACTACAGTTAGAGGATTTTGAATAGTTTGAGGTGTTTTAGTTTGGTCACCATTAGAGAAAACTGCAAGTTCTTGTAGAGCAAAAGGAAGAGGCCTGCTCTTCTTCACAGCGTTGCTTCATTTTGGTTTGAGATCTGGAGTTTGACTGGACCATTGCAACGCTTTTTCTTTTTTCCAAACATTCGGATGGAGATTTGCTTCTGTGCTTGGATCATTGCCCCATTGCATGGCCTAAATTGGGCCAAATGTTAGTTGTCAGACTTGTGGCCTTACTTCTGACTCTAGAACTCTTTGATATACAGAGAATTTCACCATCAGCCTAATGGGTTTAAGTTGTCCAGGTCCTTTGCCTGCAAAACTAACCCAAATCATTAGCCAACCAAAGTGCTTAACAGCTCGTATGAGGTGTTAGTGCATAACATCTCCAATGTAGTTTTGCCTGTGCAAATGGCATTGTTCCAGACTTTAAGGTTTGTTCCACTGAATTTTTGCAAACCTAAGCTGTGCTGCCATAAACAATACTTGTTCAGTCTTTATCTTACTGCACTGTCATGAAGTTTAACATTTAAAATTCTAACTGAGGCCTGCGTAGTCTGAGATGGAGCTCTTGGGTTTCTCTGAGCATTGCATTGTCTGCTGGAATGTGTACTCCTGGGAAGATTGTGACACTGACACACACCTGAATGCAAAATTTCTGATTTAGAGATGTGGTAAAGGGATAAGTGATTTATAAAGTGCATTTGATTAGCAGCACTTGGATGCTTAGTACCCTCTTAACTTTTAAAGCTGTAAGGATTAAGCTAGTTTTTCGCAGGCCTACATAGAGCCCACGTGACTGTATAAGTCAAAAATACCACTGCGCTTCAACTGGTAATGTAACTACTCATTACAAATGTTATTTTATTGACAGTATCCATCTGTGTAATTGTCCTTTTACAATAAAACACTAAATCTTTCACATGCATTTACTGTATATCTCATTTATCTGCTATGCAGAAGAGCTTTCTTTTAGTAACCTTAGCGTTTGACCTCATTGGTTTTAATCTGGCGTTAAATTGTAAAATGTTTCCCATAGCAAGTTTTCCACTTGATGACCTGCTGTAGTTTGGAACTTTCCATAATCCGAGGCCTATACTAAATACAAAATCTGCCTTTAGTAAAGTAAAATTAAACTTTTTATGAAGCATTAGGTAAATACTCTTGACAGCATGCTACTTGTAAAATATAACGTACAAACTTCATTATTTTCTTTATCCTGTACAGAATGTAAATCTTTCCATCCACCTGTTTTTAAAGCCTCACTACAGATTTTCAGTTTCATTAAGGTTTGGAGTTTTCCTGGCCATGAATCCAAACTCTGATCTTGTGCAATTAAGTTATTGCTTTGTCTTGAGACATGTTGCTCAATCATGCTGGAAAATTCACAAATTGTCACCAAAGTACTTGGAAGAAGTTGGTTTTAGTATAGTCGGCCATTAAAAAGAGGGTGGACGAGGAGAAACATCTTTTTTCCATTTTCTCTGTTTACAGTACTTTGCTGTTCCTGCATAGTCATACCTTAATTATTGCACACTGGCTTTTTATTTCTTTCATGTTTATTTGTTCTGGAGTTTTGGGTTTTTTTTTTAGCATTTCCACATTTTTCCAGCCCTATTCCTGTCCCATCATGCTCCCGCTGATCATTGAGTGATCACGTTAACACATATGTAATTACGTCTGCTAACAGGTGGTTCTCAGGAGAAACAAGCGTACAATCCAGGCAGGAGCAGATTCAAACAAGACGACACCAAAACCATACTCATAATTTTCTCTTCAGCAGGAATGTAAGAGATTCTCAGAATTCAGACACCTGGTTCACCACCACTTTTTTTGTAAAAACAAAAAGGTTTTATTTCAATATTCGGCTGAGTGATTTACACGAGGGAAACTGTACAAATAAGAGACTTGTAGAGAGAATGGGGCAATTTCTTCATTCCTTTTATGTACATGTTCAGCAGCTCAAACAGGTGTCATCACTGCAGGTCATCGTCATCAAACAGATCCTCAAAATCTGCAAAAAGAAACAGGAGAACAAAGACAAGGAAATAATTACAGAGTTTAAATCTACTTTATATATTGATCACAATTCATGCTGCTCTGTAGATACTTGAGGTTTTTTTTTTGTGCACCACCAATACAACACATACGTAAATAAATAATTATCTTATACCCCACTGACGCAGACCTACACACTGGTTGGTGACTGCCTGGCAAACACTGGTTGTTAAGAAAAAAAAAATAGGTATTCACCAACAAGTTGATGAGCAGTTCCACAGAAGATGCTGACATATCTGCAAACACTTGCCAATTACCCACTAAGCAGTAATTGATCTGTGAGTGTGAGCAAAAAGTCTGAGTTCAAAGCAAAATTTATGTCTTCTGAAAAGAGTCGATTTCACTGACTGCTCTCTAGGTCTGTGTAACTGTGGCCTTAAAAAGACAAGGAAAACTCTTTATTTACATATCTGTTCACACAACGAGTTAATAAAGTTATATGACTGGTCTGAGCATCACAGGTGGAAACATTTAATTTTTCGTGATTTCTATTTTATTATCTTGGGACATGAGTGTTGGGTAGATGGAAACCACTTAAATATACTTGGAACCCCAGAAGGAAGAGGAACAAATAATTGGCCAATGGATTGTTTTATTAATTAATGACATAATGGAAAAAAAACAAAACAAGTTAATGACAAAATTTGTTAGTTGCAACCCTAGAGGTTAAAAATAAATAACAATACTACTAAAAAGCCAGTATTTTCACATCTGGAGAACGCATGGTGTCTAAACCACTACAGATGACTTCATTAGAAGACATTATGAGGTTCTTCTGAGACTTTTCCCCCACTTTGACAAAACTCTAACAAGCCAGTTAGCAAACTTAACAGTCTGACTGGTGTGAAAATTACTCATCACCAGAGGATCTAACTGGCTCTGACAGCTCGATATTAAAAGGTTAAAATAGCACACAAGTGATTTCTCATCCAGGGTCAATAACTGGAATTTTAACAAGATCTTTAGGGAACAAAACGAGGCAGTATGTTCGCTCTAGTGTTGCCATGTGCCACTACTACTGGCCAGAAGGAGAAAGTCACCAGAAACTTATCAAGTGAATGGGGGACTGTCTATTAATATCAGTTACATTCCCTCTAATCAAGGTGGAACTTTCCTAAAACTGCCTTAGATGTGACACTATTTTACACATACATTAAGATGCAAATGCACAAATTTGAACCTGCTTACATAAGCATGAATCAAGCATTTCTTCCTTAAGTGATGAATTTTCAGTTATGACAATTATGACCATTATCCGTCTCTCTCAGTGCTCATACTGCCGCATACTAACTGCTCTTGGATGCAAAGCTGTGAGGTTTTGTTTGGTGTAAACTAGGGATGGACCGATCCGAT